TCATAGGTCCTCATGGTTGTATGGCAGCGAAGCATCAGTTCAAATGGCTGATGTACTGTTGTTGATGACGATGATGATGACTCTTTCGCATGTTTAGACGTTTGAACTATGAACGTGACAAAAACAAGTGAATCAGTCAAATGAAAATGCTTAGATCTACTTAACTTCGTTTCCAGTTAAGCATGCACTTAGCGTGGTCGGCAATATTAGAGTTCCACACGACAAAGATATGAGCGTCGGGGTACCGCTTAAGGCAACAACAATAAGAACCATAACGGCAGAGCGGAATATTTTTTATTATTAAGAGCCCAGTGAAGGCTACCGTAGCAGTGAAATACCCGCTAAGTATAGAAGCGAATTCTAAGCAGCAACAACTGGAACAACGAAAACGATTCCGATTCGGCAGTAGTGTGAATCTGTGTTGTGCTGTTCAGGCAGCCGCTTGAAGGCACGTCATATTCCGTAAGCACATGGCAACTATTTCGTCTATTTGGCCGTCGCACAACAAGCGAATTTGGGGACATCTATCCTCTTGTGCACACACAAACTTAAATTATACATATATATATATACAAGCAAATGATGGTTGTACGTCGACATTCATATGAATACATTAAACAGCAGTGGGTTATATCACTTACGTGATATCCTCTCTCTTTTTGCTCATGGTGAAAACAGATTCAATTTTTTCCAACAACTTCGTGATCTCACTGGAATCTGTTTGGAACTAGATTACGCTGAATTAGGCTCGCCTTTCTGACGAAGATTAACGAAATCAGAAGTCTTAGATTTGAAACATTTGACGAGTGTGCAAGCTGTGCACAAATTGTCATAAATAGCATCATCTAAAAACTCCGAAGTAAAACCTTTGCAAAATTACAGTCGGTGGAAAAAGACCGTTGCAGATACACGTCGTATTCAATGAGTTCATTTAATTCCTGATACCTAGTGGATAACTCATGCAGCGCACGATGGCATTCCCTGTATATTTTTCGAAATCTGTTTGAACAATATGTATTAATAGAACTCACTGAAGCTCCAATATCCGTCTGTTAGCATCTTCGGTACAAACGAGTTTATCTGGACTTGACAACTTGGAAGAAGACTGATTAGGCTGGACAAAGAAAATTGAGAATTGAAGATCACGTTTACAGATCCCATTAGGACGATGCGTCTATCTCGTGGGTGCAAAAAGTCTGGATAAACAGCCAGACGCTTGGTAAGATACTTTGAATTTTTCATTCGAAACTCAGAATCGAAGGTGTTTGTGATAGTAAAAAGGACTAATAATCCACAGTAAAGGTTATATGCTTGCGCTTCAAGGAGAGAATGAACTCTGTTTGCTTTTCATTCGGATGAGGCATCATTTCCGCCATCTTGATACTAATTTTCACACAAAATAGGTAGACCATAAAATGGCTTTACAAACAACAGCATCAGTGTGCTCCAAGTGGTGTAGCAGCTAGGCAGAATCTCTAAACCAATCAAAGGTTGGTCTGAGACAGTATCCAAATTTCAAACTACCGCCACCTGCAGCCCTGGCGGCCCCGGATCAGACAAGTTGAGCGCCTTTACTAGACGCGCAGTGTAGGTCACTGCAAAATATTTTGGGAAAACCTAACACACGCTAACAGCTACGGCTACTATTAAATTCGTTTTTCCAAGTGGGCTTAAATTGTGTGATACGATTTAGAAGATACGTATGTCAAGATTACAAGGAACAGGTGAAAAAAGCAGCCAATTTGTGCAATGACTGCTTTACCTTCAGTCGATGCACAACTTAAACTTCAACGTAACCATGCAGAGAGTCACACTATGCATTATTTTACGTTTGCCTACAGGCTGCGGTGCTTACGTAATCGCATTCTGTAAGTCGCTTTGGTTCACATCTTTCAGGTGTGTAAGTCGCTACGCGTCACTTCGTTTTTGCCGATAAACCGGTTATCATTTGTACACTGTGTACACAATATATATTGCTCTAAAGGCATAAAACTTACGTTTGAGCATTTATTTAAGGTGCCCCTTGCGGCTGTTGTATGCACCTGCCTTCTCTATGACTAAACTACAGCACTACCAAGAGTTGAAAAACACTATCTCCGCCTTGAAACGCTTCACTTAATGATATTGAATCCCAGTTAGTGTGTTTTGCTCCCCATTATTTAGAACCATACCATTTTTTCCTTATTATTCGAGCTTGCTACGCCAGTATCCATCGTACTTACTTCACACAATACCTTGATAATAAGGGATTGAATATTTAGGTTATGCTTTTAGAAGACACGTTAACTATTTTGAATATTGCCCCAGATTCGATTTAATGCATCCTTTTCCTTGCCGTGCTGTTGGCGACAAGCATCCTGCAGCTAAGATATACAAGGATGTATTCAGCCGTTTCGCATCGTTACTGGACATTGTGTTGTTTTGTACCGTAAACGAGCACCTTCTGTATTTTTCAACGTTGGATATAACCTTTATCTGAACATTCGAAATGTCCACTAGTTTTACTGATTGCACATCTGTTGACAAAACTGGTGTTGGGGAGTATCTTGCTGTACCGTTTCTCCCTCTGGTTTATACGCATTCTATTTTGTAGCTGCACAATACACGTTGGGTTCAGTCACCGCAACCTCTATACTGTTTCGCATCTGATACGGCTCCTACGTGTTAAGGAATACTGACTAGTATCGCAGGAGCCGCCCAACATTGGGTCACCCCTTCCTAAGACATGCCGTGCGCCATTGAATTTTTCTGGTGAGCTCGTCCCGGTGACATTATTTTTCATTATTCAATATCCATTTGTTTTCTTACCTGACTCACATACTTATTCGCTTCTCAAAATGTATGGTACTGCTGCTAAGTCACATAAGTACGTGGTTAGTGCTGTGGAGCTAGACATCCAACCTTTTTGGAAGAATGACCCATGGTTATGAGTTGCACATCTAAAATCCACTTTTTACCATTGTAGTATTTCTTCTGATACGGCTAAATGGTGTCAACTTATGTCTCTACTTCCGCAAAGCGCATCCTTCCAGTGAAAGACATCATAGCCTGCCCTGCTCCCGAAGCCAAGCATCAGTCTTTAAAGTAGGCGAGCACATAGCGAATCAAGCCCTCTGACAAGGTCCGATTGCATCAACTGGTAATGGATTTGCAGCTAGGGGACAGGAGGCCTTCAGCCTCGTTGCGACGGATGCAACGACTTCTAGGGACTCTAATATTCTCCGCGAAATGTGAATGCAACGTCTCCCGGAAAGCACACAGGCCATCCTCTCCGTGGCAAGCGCCCTCCTTATCGCAGCAGTTGCGGAACTAACAGAACGTGTCTTCGAACATCAGCCAACGAACGAAGCTAAAACATTCACTGAACTTAACCCCTTCGCATCCCCAGTGACGTCCGCCACAAGTGGTCTGTCAGCCATCAAGGTTATAGCATCGCAACTAGCGTCACTTCAGCGCCAAGTCGAGAACTTCTCATTAGACCTTAGGCAGCGCAGCCTCTGTAGCTCACCATCCTGTTGGGCGCAGTGTAACAATTCAGGCTTTTGCTTTTAGCGTTCGTATTTTGGTAAGTGCGAGCAACCATGCAATTTCTCCGCCTCGACGCAGGGAAACTTTCGGGCCGGCTGCTAATGGGCACTGACGGTGTTGTCACAGCCCAAAATCGTATCATCTACATTAAGGATTATGATTCTGAAACCCACTTTTAGTTGATCCGGGGCGGAATTCAGCTTCATTCTCCTATGCTACGTGAGCCTATCACTTCTTTGTTGACAAGCCTAAGTGGCTCCAATGAGACCCTACTAGCCACCTACGGTCGTCGGTCGTTTACACTGTATCTAGGTCTTTCACGCACGTTCCTCCGGATATGCGCCGTTGGTGCAGTCGCCTTTGCCATCCTCGGCATTGACTTTCTCAGGCAGCTTACTAACTTGATCGACGCGGAAAGCCAGAAGTTGGTGGACAACGCAACGCAGTGCAAGTGGCAGTACCGCCGATCTTGCATCTATTAAATCGGTCTTTGTCTATCTCCAGACCGCGCTAGACTACGCAAATCTGTTTCTCCAGTATTCCAAGCTCGTTTAGCCAATGAATGCGGCTTTGCCTGTGGCATCCTAAGTCACTCACCAGATACCGACGAATGTCCTACCCGTCTCATGCTATGAAGGCCGCCTGGCGCCCGAGAAACTACAGTTACCGGGCGGAGTTGGAGTACATGCCCGAACTTGGAATTATCCGCCCATCCGACAGCCCTAGTTCCTCTCTTCTGCAGATGGTGTCCATGAAATCTGACGACTGGCGTCATTGCGTTGGTTACCTCGAGATTAGTCGTCTAACCGTCTCAGGTACGCATCCTATTCCAAACATGCAAGACCTTACTGCATGTCACACAGGTGAGACGATCTTCAGTAATATCGACCTGGTTCGCTTCCATCACTAGATAACTGTAGAGGAAAATGCCATAACGAAAACAGCCGCTGTCACTATTTTCGGCCTGGTTAAAGGATTAAAACTGCCATTTGACTGTGCAACTCCGCACAGATCATCCAACGCTTCATCCATGATGGCACTCGTGGCCTTACCTTGCCTATTCCTACTTCGATGATATTTTTGTAGCTAATTCATTGCAGCAAGAACAGCTAGACCACCTTCGAACTCTCTTCCAGCGCCTGACGCAATGCTGTGTCACGGTCGACCCGAGTACTTGCATTCTCGACAAAGTAATGATAGGCTTTCTGGGACAAAGTGTTTTCTCGTGTAGTATCGAAGTCCATCCTGATAATCACCAGGCAATCAAGGGCCTTCCAGATCCGACTTATTTCCAGCACCGTCGATTTTTTGGTTTGATCAACTGCAATGGACGCCATATTTCGCGCTGCGCTCAGCTCATACTACCTCGAACTGACCACTTTTGAGGAAATGCAAGTAAGTTCGCTTCCCCTGACACAGCACAGATAGGCTCCGCCGAGATCAAGGATGCTGCCTTCAACAAAGCCCACCTTGCTCCTTCTGAATTTACTGCGCCTTGCTATTACAACCGCTGCATAAGGCGTCGCAATAGGAACAACAACACGTTGGTGGGCAGTGGCAACCCCTTCTGTTCTTCTCTGATCGTCTGCAGCCGGCGGACCCGCTACGGCACGTTTGACAAAGTACTGCTCGCCGTTTATCTAGCCATTCGCCACTTCAAGCACACGCACAAAGGCCACGCCTTCACGGTCTACACTGACCACATCTCCCTCAGCTTCGCCTTCAACTCTGCTTGCGACAAATATTCACCACGGGAAACAAGACACCTGGGCGTTGTCACGCAGTTCACCGCTGACATACTTCATGTCTCAGTTGTCGGCAAGCCGGCCGCCGACGCTTTCTCCTGCGTCATCCTCCCCTCCAGCCTTTGCCTACTGCCCACCTTGCCGCCTTGCCATCGGCTCAGTCTCAAACTAAGGGCATACAACGCACGCGGCAGTCCACTTAGCTTCACCTGCAACCTGTTCTTCTCTAAACCAGGGAGGGAACCACTCTCTGTGACACGTGTACAAATTTTCATAGACCCCTCGTGTTCATCTAATCAGGTGCACAGTCTGACGCACCGTGCTCACTATCACCTCTCGGTATCCGTGCACTTTTGAAACGGCTCGCCGAAAGTTTCATTTGGTCACGCATAAACAAAGAGGTTCGTACCTGTGCTCGCGCCGGTCTTAAATGCCAGCACGCCAAAACACATCGTAACAACCGCAGTACTCATAAATTCAGGTCCAGCCTCGTACTCTCGGTTCTCACCTGTACACTTAGACCCGTAGGTCTCTTGCCTCCTTTACGTGGATTGGTATACACTCTTACATGTGTTGCCTGCTTCATCGGATGGCCAGAATCCGTTCCCGTAACAGACTACATAGCTGAGACTGTTAAATGGGCTTTCTTAGATCGGTGGGTCTTGCACTACGGCTGCTCATCCAACATTACAACTGACGAAGCAACGCCTTTGGAATATCCACAATTCGATACGTATTGCAACTTTTTAGGCTGTCGCAGCAATTATACCACTGCGTACCACCAAGCAACGAACGGTTTAGTTAAACGCTTCTACAGATAGCAAAACGCATCACCCTGCGACTCCTCCGACTCTGGCTGTAGCGAAACCGTTCCGCTCGTACTTTTAGGCTTTCGCAACAGCATCAAAGCTGCCTTGCA